GTCATGGCCTTCTTTTACTGAAATAGTCACCTCATACATAAATTTACAAGAAAGAAAACAACACAGTCCAGTTCCACTCCACCAATGCTGTAAGAGCTGTCCTATCAACAGTGGCCTAGTGTTGGACCAGATGACAGGCCTCCATCCACTAGATGGGGGTACAACATCTGATACCATCACCACAGAGGCAAGGATGACCTTTATTTAAAGTGTCTGCAAGCATTGCCAAACACTGGGTAGGTGCAAAATTGTCCACTTCTGGTTCTTATCTCAACATGTTTGCCTTGGGCCTCTCTACATCTTAGTTTCTAAACTGTTACCCTAATGTTCAAGAGCCAAGTTGGGAACTGGGGTTGCACAGCAGGTGCTTAGCATACTCGTGACCAGAGAAACCCTGCTACTATTACTACTACTACAACAACAACAAAAAGATGACGACAAGATTCCATTTAAAAATGACTTGTAAGTTGGCAGGTTTGCCAGCCCCGCTGGTCTGCTAGCCTGTGAGTTCCCTTACAGTCAGATCTCATTGCATTGCTAGTTTATTTCTGCCTCAGTGCCAAACAGTTAACAGTTGTTTGGGCGCTGGAATGAAATGTACTATAAAATACTCGGCCATCACGTAATGTGTTTCGCAGACATTCCTACTGTTATTCCGTCCAACTACATGAGTTTCTTAGAAGCAACCAGCTCCTCACTATGTGCACTGAGGAAGGACCCCAGCCACACCCCTAAATGCCACATGAAATCCTCGGTGGAAAAGCCTCCACTTCAGATCTAGCTAATCATGGGCAGGAACACGTGAGTAGATTATAAAAGCAAGAAGTATCTAACCATCCTTTCAGGAGTGACAGTCTACCACAGCAAATATAGTCTCTGGAATGTCACAGCAGTGAGAGCAAAATGAGAAGCGTTTTCTGTGAGCAGAGTCCGAGTGTGGTGAGTGGGAGAAGCTCACAGAATGGTAATTCTTGGTCAAGCTGGGGGAAGGGGTCACAGCACAGACCAGCGTGCGGCAAGCAATACCAGGGAATCCAAGAGAAAGGTCAGGTGGGAGGAGATGTCACTCTGGGGAGGAAAGTTGTATTATCTGAGCAGACTTCAGCTTGCCAAGGACAACAACCATACACACACACACACACACACACACACACACACACACACACACACACACACACACACACAATATTTCCCCAACACAAAATGAGTAACAATCACCTTACAGCCTGTGGTGTGTGAAATGTGGCTGGCATACAGTAGTGGATGTGTAGAGTCATTCCAGACCCTTACATTAGAAGGCCACCTGTGGGGCTTCACACTTGTAATCTCAGCCCTCAGGAAGGCTGAGGAGGGAGGATCTTGACTTGGAGGCCAGTCTGGGTAATACGGCAAGATTCCATCTCAAAAAAAGGAAATAAAGTAAGGCTCCTATCTTAGTTGTTGTAGTTCTTTATTTTCAGCTATGTTCCTTTTTGTCGAGAAAGCCTTTTTGTGATATAATTCACACCATAAAAAAAATCGACTCACTGCAGTGCACAATTCAACAGCTTTCTAGGTACTCGCAGACTCGCTTGTATAACCATCACCAAAATCACTTTTAGAACATTTTTATCACCCCAGCGGGAAAAGATTCACATCCATTAGTCATTATTCCCCCTCTCTCCTCCAAACTCCCCGATACCAACAGGCTTCCATCGACCCTGATCTGGCTGCCCTGGCTTCCCAAACGAGCGCAAAGGTGAAGCTGCCATGGTTAAGCCACCACGCGCCTTCTGCTATGAAACCAAAACTGACCCGAACATAATGCCACACAGATCGAACACAAGCCCGGACTCACTGAGTATCACCAGTTGTTGCAATGTTTCCTGACTGCTCTATTCTTTTTTTCATTTTTGGAGCAGGGCTGGAGTTTGAACTCAAGGCTTGCTAGGTAAACACTCTTCCATTTGCCAACACCCTAGCCTGCTTTGAGGTAGTATTTGGTATAGTTATTTTTCATATGGGTCTCAAGTTTTTCCCCAAGTTGGCCTCATTTTAAGATTCCCATCCACCTTCTTATCCCTCACACAGCCGGGATGAAGGGCCTGTGTCCCTCACCCAGCCACCCACTAGCTCCCAAGACAATGTAGCAGAAACAGCTACTTGGAAAGAAGGCAAAATTCATGTATAGGAAGCCAACTCATGTACATGATACAAAGGGGCTGCCAGCAGAAAGGCTGAGAAAACTCCACTTACAATACCCACACACTCCATAATAGGTTACATTTATTTTTCTTGCGCAGAACGAAAACAGGGAAGCCAGAATGAAACCCCTGGAGAGGTGTGGCAGAAAAGAAAAGTGTGGTTGACTGACAGGTGCTTGATTGAATCTAATCTCAGTTCTGTCACTTCTGAGCAACAGTTCAACTTCATGTAATCCAGCACACGTTTAGTGATCACCCACCATCTATATCTATATCTATATATAGATAAAGTATTGCACTTGGAATTACAGTGCCAAGTAATGCGAAGTGAGGCATGCATCCTCCTCTCTCGGAATTCACCATCTAATGGACAAAGAACAAATTTTAGCTCCTAATTCCTAGCAGTCTCTTTGGCCAGCAGCCATCGGGGGAGTGGATCAGGTAAGAGTCTACCTCACTCACATTTCCCATTATCACCCCAACTGCAGAGGGGCCTCACCACATTCACCCCTCACCCACACCCTCCTGGGTTTGCGCCAACAGTGAGAACAAGAGTGTCCATTGCCTACCGAGGGCTGAGGGCTCCAGCCTGAGCGCCCAGAAAGGAGGACATGATTTCCCCACTGGTAACAATAAAGCTCTTGGAGGCTCATCTATCTATCTATGCAAAACAATAAAGCTCTTGGAGGCTCATCTATATCTGCAAAAGCATCTTCTCTACAGGTTCTCAAACTTTTTCTTCTTTTTTATTGATATATATTAATTATACAAAGGTGTTTTCATTGTCATCTTTTCATACATGCACATAATATACTTTGATCAAAGGGGATAGTAATTTTTATTACTGATTTGTTTTTATTACCTTTAAATAGTTGTACAAAGGAGTTTCAATTCAACCTGTCAATTTATGGGTACACTGTATCTTTTTTTAAATAAATTTTTATTAAGATTAAGTGATTACATATTTCACAGTATTGTGAGATAGTTTCAGTCACAAACACTTTTTCTTTTTTTTGGTCGGTCATGGGACTTGAACTCTGGGCCTGGACACTGTCCCTGAGCTCTTCAGCTCAAGGTGAGAGCTCTCTACCACTTGAGCACCACTTCTGGTTTTCCGGTCATTAACTGGAGATAAGAGTCTCACGGACTTTCCTGCCTGGGCTGGCTTTGAACCATGATCCTCAGATCTCAGCCTCCTGAGTAGCTAGGATTACAGGTGTGAGCCACCAGCACCTGGCTCACACATTTTAACCTTCACAAAGCAAACTGTCATTATCATGGTCTACAAAGTTTGTGAATTCTATGCGCTTTGACAATACAACTATTTCTTCCACATCAGGTGGTATGTCCATTTCTTTCCTTTTGCTTGTGTTAGCTATACCCTCTCATTCCTTCCCTCCCATCTCTGCCCTTGAGTTGCTTAATTCATTTTCATCCATGTCCAGTGTAATTGATGTTGTGTATTTTCCCCGTTTCCCTGATGCTGTGCCCTTCTTCTAGCTGTACAATGTATCTTGACCAATGTCTCTCTCTCTCTCTCTCTCTCACACACACACACACACACACACACACACACACTTTTAAAGAGACTCAGAGGTATTTGGGAGTTCCTGCCATGTTATCTACCTTCTTGGGGGCTGCGAAAACTGGGTTCTTCCTATGGTCCTTGGATTCTCAGTTTGGGTGCAGTTTCTTGGCCTTTATTGCGGTCTTGTTGGTTTTCTATGTGTAGGACATCTTTAAGGATCTTTTGTAGGGCTGGTTTGGTGGAGATGTATTGTTTCAATTTTTCTTTGCTATGGAAGGTTTTTATTTGGCCTTCAGTTATGAAGGAGAGTTTAGCTGGGTACAGTATTCTTGGTTGATAGTTGTTTGTTTTTAGGGCATGGCATACATCATTCCAGGCTCTTCTTGCTTTGATTGTCTCTGCTGAGAAATCTGAGGTGATTCTAATTGGTTTCCCTTTATAAGTGATTACCCTTTTCTCTCTGACAGCTTTAAGGATCTTTTCCTTGTTCTGAGTTGATCCTGTGTGGATTATAATGTGACGGTGGGATGTCCTATTCTGGTCTGGTCTATTTGGGGTTCTAAAGGCTTCTTGTATCTGGACAGGCCTATCTTTTTGCATGTTTGGGAAGTTCTCTGCTAGGATCCTGTTAAACAGATTTCCTAGACCATTAACTTCTGTTTCTAGGTGCTCCTCTACACCCATTATCCTTAGATTAGGCCTTCTGATGGTGTCTTCCAGGTGTTGGATAGATCTATCATATTTCTTGGACTTGTCTTGGATGGTTGTATGTTCTTTCTCTATAATATCTAGGCTGTCTTCAATCCCTGAGATTCGATCTTCTGCATGGTCTAACCTGCTGTCAAGACTCTCTACTTTGTTTTTTATCTCTTTTCCTTCTAGTTGGTCAGCTTTGATGGCTTCAAGTTCTTTGTTGAAGCTCTGTTTTACGTCTTGTATGAATTTCTTTACTTCCTTAATTTGGTGTTCAGTGTTTGTCCTCAAATCACTTAGTTGATTGGTTATGGTTTCTTTGGGCTCCCATTCCTTCTGTTGAGCTCCATTCAGCATTCCCTTTGTGGTCTCCCTGACTTCCTTCAGCTCTTTGTTAATGGATTCCATGAACTACTCGAAGTCCAGTTTCATGATAATCAAGATTAAACAGCTTACTTATCGATAAACACATAGCCTGCAAGTTTAATAAATAATCTATTTCAAAGGCTTAGCAACTCGCAGTTGAAATGAACCTCTATTTTTTAATTGTGCCTGTAAATAATTCTTTTATTATATCTAATAATTCTATAACTTACCGGTCAGCAGCTTCAATGTCAAAACAAAACCTCCTGTCGATGGAGTCCGTATGCCTTCTGGTACATTCCTTCAAGAAGAATACTTCTCCATCCCCCTGCAAACAAGCATGTTACTCTTAAAACTACATCACACAGGCGCCGCGCCTACCAGAGCAGAGACGCCAGGTTCAAGATTCCTAGTCCTATTTTCTCTATTGTCTTTCCAACCAGTTGGTTGAAACATAAATTAGAATCTACAATACTATCATTTGTTATTCTATTTTTAAGGTTCCCTAGACCTTGCTCTGATTATAGAATTATTTAGCCAGTGCTGTTCAAAAGGCAGATCATCCGCCGTTTCAGGTGTTGGAGTATCTTGATGTAATATCTGATGCGCAGGGGAAAGGGGAAGGAGGGAGGTTTGGAGTTAGGGCCTTGTATTTAGTGAAGCACTATCACTCCACACTTAGCTATGCCTCCTTTTCACTTTGGTTTATTTTTCAGATAAAGTCTCTCACTTTTTTCCAGGCTGGTCTCGTCTGTGATTCTCCCATCTCTTACCTGGCCAATTAGCTGGAATTATAGACACGTAACACCACACCTGGCTTAACGTACTCTTTTTTTTTAATGGTGTTATCATGTCACAATTTGTGATAACTTTGGACCTACAAGAATCTGAGTTCTATGTGGATCCAGCCCCAGTATGTTAGGGCCTTAAATTAGTTCTTATGATCATCGATAGCTATAACCATTTGAGGCTATAACCATTCAGTGACGCAGCTTTCCTGTTTCAAAAATGAATCACCCCGGATTTATTTGTACTTCTTACCTCTTTTACTGTAATAGCATTCTAACTCATTATGCAACCCTCTATAAAGGCTTTAGAGAGTTAAGCCTGAGCTGGACACCGGTGGCTCACTCCTATAATCCTAACTACTCAGGAGGCTGAGAGCTGAGGATCACGGTTCCTGCCAGCCCAGGCAGGAAAGTCCGTGAGACTCTTATCTCCAATAAACCACTAGAAAACTGGAAGTGGCGCTGTGGCTCAAGCAGTAGAGCGCTCACCTTGAGCTGGAGAGCACAGGGACAGCACCCAGGCCCAGAGTTCAAGCCCCACAACCGGACCCAAAAACAAAAAAAACAAAAAAACTAAAGTAGGGACACAGAGCATTCTACGGTCATGCGTGTGTGCGCACAGTTCAGAAGAGAAAAAAGGACTGTGCTATTTTCTGGCCTGTGTGGAAACCGAGATTTTAATTCTACAAATGAAATAAAAGTGACTATCAGCCTCTCAAATGACACTCCCCACAGCAAATACATCTTGTATAGAATACAAGAAGAAATGAAATACTTACAAGTTTCCCCCCAGATCTGTGCTCAAATGGGATCATGTTGAATTTCTTGGCTGCCTTCCGATACATGCAGTAGTGTTTGACCCAACTGGAGCCAAACGGAGCAGGCCCTTCAACAAAATACACAACTTTGTATGAGCAGCTACGCGGAGCTCTAAGCACATCACTAAAGAGAAAAACACCGAAACGTAGCAACAAATATGGCTCCGTAAAAACAAATCAGCCCTCCTGCTGCTCTAGGAAAAAAGAAAAGCGTGAGCTAACAGGAGCACCAGGGAGATACTTCATGGGAAGATTTCAAGTCACTTTCAGCAATGCAGACGTGACTGAAAGACTAGAAAAACTAACATTTACTCATACTTGAAAATCTCTTCATTTTCAGCTTAGTATTTTACTCGTTTCCAGGCATTAAGAACTCACAGGGTTCCAAAAGTTCCATTCCATCTATGGGATGGTTTTGATTCTTGCTCTGAAACTCTTTAGTGCAGAAACAAGAGCACTGTCACAATTTAAAGAAAACAAAACAGCACCTCCTCTAACGCACTAAGCCACAGGTAACAGCTGCCCTTACAGATGACTAGGAAGTTTCAGGACTGAAGTAGGATTTGGATGTAGCTTATGCAAGGCCCCAGGCTCTATCCCTAACACCTAGGGTGGGGTTGGGAAGGGAGGGATGAGCAAAGGAGAAGTGAAGAACGTGGAATTAAGACTAAGGGGTGAGTGGTCCACAGATGCACCAAAACATTCTCAGAACCCGGTTTCAACTGGGCAGGAAGTCGGCATTGCCACAATCAGAGCTCTTCAAGGACAGCAGCCCACACTGGGGTCACTAAGCATGTGGAATTTCAGAGGCCACGACGTCTACATCAGCGGCAGAGCACAGGTCACCAGTTCAATCCCCAAACAAAAGAAAAAGGGAGGGAAAGTCCTATTTGTCATGAATCATAAAGGCTAGCAGTTTTTCTTTCCCTGAGATGTTTTTTCCCTACACAATCAAACAAAATAAACCTTCTAACTGGAATGTCAAAAACAGTATCAGGAAGAGAAAAAAGAACTTATTAGCCAATAATAATCCATTTAGGGAGGCAAAAAAAAAAAGATAAAAGGCAGTAGCAGAGCACAATAAAGTTCATCTTAGACCATCACCAGTGCCAAGGCCTCAACGTGGAAATGACTGGAATTTGTGTTAGAAAGGCTTAAGACTGTGTTCTTTGGTTGACAAAAATATAGCACAGGGGCTGGGAAGGTGGCTCAGTGGTAGAGCGCTTGCCTTGCATGCCTGAGGCCCTGGGTTCGATTCCTCAGCACCACATAAGCAAAAAGGAAAAAGCCAGAAGTGGTGCTATGGCTCAAATGGTAGAGCGCTCGCCTTGAGCTGAAGAGTTGAGGGACAGCGCCCAGGCCCAGAGTTCAGGCCCCACGACTAAGGCAAGGAAAGGAAAGGAAAGCGAAAAAGAAATTCCCCTCTTGTTCTTAACTATGAGGGTGGGGGAAGGGTGTGTGTATATGAGATGAGGTTGGTGGGAGAATGCATCTGTGTGTGTGTGTGTGTGTGTGTGTGTGTGTGTGTGTGTGTGTGTGTGTGTGTGTGTGTGTGAGAGAGAGAGAGGGGGGGGGGTGTGTGAGAGGGGGGGGGGAGGGAGTAGAAAGAGAGGACAGGAGGTAAAGAGTGCACCATCATAGTCTGACCCCACTCTCCACCTTGGACCCCTCATGAGCACGCTCCTGGGTCACAGAGCGGAGCACAGGGGGCTGGCGTGGCCGCAGAGCAGCACATTTACCACTGTTCCCAAGGTCACAGACCCCCCACTCCACAGGAGAAAGGTGTTTCCCAACTACATTTTCCAGGATAGCATGGGGCAAAAAAGCAGTGGGGATCATTTTCCAAAGAGCCATGGTCATTATAGCAATAACCAGGCTTTACAGCCAGCCCTCCTCAGGTGTCCCCAGATAGGCTGCAGAACTCCCCAAAGCCTTGCTGTTCCAGCCTCTCAGTTAAAAGGGCACACCACTGACAAACAACCTCCATCCGTGCTCCCATATGCTTCCTTACAGGACCGAACAGGAAGGAAACGCAGCAGAAACGGCAGAACTGCATTCGTGGGACAGTGACGGAGTCTGCTGTACTGGGTGTGGATGCTGCTGCTTTTGCCCAGTGTTTTCAGGATGCTCAGTGGAATGCAGGGTGCAGCACCGATGGGTGCTGGGATCTCCACCCATCCCCAAGCCAACCCGGAGGGCCTCTTACTTTTTTCCTGCACATACAGGTAGCCTTCTGCGGTGAACTGGCTGGCGCGCTTATGGTCTTTGGGATTCTGCCGGATCTTGTTCATCAGTTCTTCCACTTCCGACCTGGCGCCTTCAAACCGGTTCCGTGTCTGAAATGCAGACAAGGCAGGCGGACTTCAGCTTCTTGTGAGGAGTAAATAAGATTATTTATTTATGGAGTAAATAAAATGTAATTTGTGGGAGGTGTGTGTGTGTGTGTGTGTGTGTGTGTGTGTGCGTTCATGTGTACACACACATGTACATATCAGATTGTTCTCCCCATTCGTGAGCTGGGGATGTGGCTCCAGGGGTACAGGTCTGCTACCAAACACATAACCACCCCCACAAAAAAAGGAAAAAGAAACTCCCCATCTCCTATCCTTTATGGTCAAAGAGAACAAACGCCTGGTGGTAACTTCTGAACTTGTGAAGCTAACGCGGCGAGGGACGCTGCTGCTGTTCAAACAGCCCCAGGGGAACTGAAGCAGGTTTACTCTAATTAAAATATAGTAAAGTACAAGTTGTCATGTCCAAAACGAGCTTTACAACGTCGGTGCGGAGGGGGGGGGGGGGGGGGGGGCGGGGAGGAAAGAGGGGGGGAGGAAAGGGATTGGGATTGGGGGGAAGGGGGGAGGCTGGGAAGGGATGTGAAGGGTAAACCAAAGGAGGAGGCTGCAATGCTTGGTAAGAAATGTACGCATTATCCTGCCCATGTAATTGTAACCCCTCTGTACAGTATGTTCACAAATAAAATTAAATTAAAAAAATAAAATAAAATATAGTAAAGAGAGTGATGGACGGGGAGAGATCGATTGGAACACAGTATAAACATGTATAAAGATGTAAAAATTAAATTCCTCCCCCAAAAAACTAATAATGTACACTAATAAGTATATGGGAGATCCCATCTCCAAAACACAACCAGCAAAAAGCCAGGCTGGAGGAATGGCTCAAGTCAGAGCATGAGATGAGCCCTGAGGTCAAACCCTGGTACCAGCCCCCCAAAACAAAGGGAAAAAACGTACGATAAAACAAGACAATGAGTTGCCAGGCAGAGTGACTCACAACGGTAATCCCAGCTACTTGGGGGGGAAGAGATCAGGAAATCCTGGTTAGAGAGAGGGTAGTCCAGACAAAAAGATAATGAGACCTCATCTCAACAAATAAGCCAGGTCCTGGTGGGGAATGCCTGATATTCCAGCCATGCCTTCTTAGGTTAAGAGGAATGCAGTTTAAAGACTGCCTAGGGTGGGGCTGGGAAGGTGGCTCAGTGGTAGAGCGCTTGCCTTGCATGCATGAGGCCTTGGGTTCAATTCCTCAGCACCACATAAGCAGAAAAAGCTGGAAGTGGTGCTGTGGCTCAAGTGGTAGAGCACTAGCCTTGAGCTGAAGAGCTGAGGGACAGCGTCCAAGGCCCAGGGTTCAGGCACCATGACTGGCAAAAAAAAAAAGACTGCCTAGGGTGAAAAACACAAGACATTACTTGAAAAAGAAACAAAAACCCTAAAGCAAGAAGGGGCTGGAGGTGTGGTTTATGTGGCAGAGTGCCAGCTAGCAAGTAGGAAACACTGAGTTAAAATCCCAGTACCATGCACACGCACACGCGCACTCACGCACACATCATAAAATATCAACCTGGAAAGTATGTAATTCGCAACAATCTCCCAAGTTTTCAGTGTTCTACATGCAATGTGAGCACTTAAGATTCTGCTAACATTTCACAATTCTTTGTAAATTAATAAAAATGAGTGTCTATTTTTCCAGGTCATGGGAAGTTCATGGGAAGTGTGCTTGAGAGTGAAACACGCTCTCCCCACCCCCCCCCCACTAAGAAGGAAGGGGGAAAGAATCACCCCTACAACTACCTAGGACACAAATCACATCTCTGGACCCCCGGACTCATGGGTCACCAATATCTGTCAAGCAGCTTCCCCGAAAGCCCGGACGCGAGTGGAAAGGGACAGAATTACCAAGACCACCGCGACTCGGCACTGCCCAGGGCAGGGACATCGCTTTCCTCCAGAGGTAAAATAAGTGTGTTAATACGGAAAAACTGCTGACAAGCAGCTGTGGAAAGCTGACATGGAAAATCATTATTGAGATTCCTCCCTTCAATGAAAAAGGTAGCCAGGAGGTCCCCAGAGTGGGAAAATGTACTTCATTATCAGGAGATGGGGAATCTGATAAATGCAGATTTGTAAAAAGGAAAACTTGCCTGCAGAGGTTTAAACATAGACTAGGAGCTAAAACCAAAAATTATGCGCATTTAGAAAACACAAGACTACAAAGAAGGGGGCTGGGAAGGGGGCTCAATGGTAGAGTGCTTGCCTCACATGCATGAGGCCCTGGGTTCGATTCCTCAGCACCACATAAGCAGAAAAAGCTAGAAGTGGCACTGTGGCTCCCGAGGTAGAGCCCTAGCCTTGAGCTGAAGAGCTGAGGGACAGTGCCCAGGCCCAGAGTTCAGGTTTCATGACTGACTCAAAAAAAAAAAAAAAAAAAGACTACAAAGAAGGTAGAAATGATGTGTGGCACCATCTCTATCTCTTCTTCCCACTTCTCACGCCCCCAGAATTTCTTGTCCCTATCTTAAAACTGATCTCAGCTGGACACTGGTGGCTCACATCTGGGTTCTAGCTACTCAGGAGGCTGAGATCTGAGAAGTAAGATTCAAAGTCAGCCCAGGCAGGAAAGTCCATGAGACTCTTATCTCCAATAAACCACCAGAAAACCTGGAAGTGGAGCTGTGGTTCAAGTGAGAAAGCACCAGCCTTGAGCAAGAAAGGAGAGAGCGCGAGTCCCTGAGTTCAAGCTCCAGTATTAGTGCACACACACACACACACACACACACCTCTCACATCATCATACCAATGCTTGGTGCACATGGAGCTTGGTAAACAGCTAACCAGGACGAAACACCCATCAGAGGCCTTCCATTGGGCAGGGAACAAATAGACTATCACAAACAGTGAGAGGTGGAAACAAACCCTAGTACACTGGAAGAAACTCATCTTTGAGGCCAGCACTGAACCTGAAACTACCAACCCGAGCCCTGAGGGTGTATCTGCCCAAGTCCCGTGCTGGCCTGCCCTTTGGGAACATGGCTTCAGGAAGAGAAGTGCTCCTCACCCAGGCTCCACCTCCTCCACCAAACAGGACTGCAAGGAAAACCTCCTCTCCAGGACTTCCATGAAGACTATTATATGCCAAATAAACCATTCAGGATGATGTTGACACATGGTAAAGTTCATATTAGAGGCATTATTTCATTATAGTTATGTCACTCAGATATCACAATATTTTCTAACAAAGGAAAGTATCTGTCCATATTAACTGCTCCTAGCTTCTTTGGTTGTTGTTGTTGGTTGTGGGACTTGAATTATGGGCCTGGGAGCTGTCCCTCAGCTTTTCAACTCAAGCCACTTAAGCCACAGCACCACTTCCGGTTTTCTGAGTGGTTAACTATAGCTAAGAGTCTCACAGATGTTCCGGCCCGAGCTGGCTTTAAACCACAACCCTCAGATCTCAGCCTCTTGAGTAGCTAGGATTACAGGCGTGAGCCACCAGTGTCCAGCTAGCTTCTTTAGGGCCTCTCTGTGAGTCTTAATCTTGCTCACTACATTTCCTTCTGTGAACAACTCCGCTCTATTCTTTCTTGCTCCATATTCTTCCAAGCACAGAGCTTAAGGTTAGTTTTTTTTAATACTTTAATTTTGATGCAATTTCCATTCTTTTGGAAAATCTATTTTCTAAAAGCCATCCAGCCACTTTTTTGCTTTCCATTTATTATTCTAGATTATAGAAAATGGATAAGGACCAAATCTCCCAGAAAAAGTCTTACCGTATCTATAATAGAAACAGTGTCATTGGATGGGGAAAAAATAGACCATTTTTGCTTTTAAATCATCTACCTTTTTCTGAATATAGTTCTGTGATTTAAGGTTATTTTTTTACTATAGTAAAATCCTAAATTCTTCCCCCAAATTATCTATAATGTTATATAGTATTTCACACATGTCATAATAAAACAACCATATGACTAGAACTTCTCCCAGCTCTATATAGCCTTATTCCCTTATTATTCTTTTTTTTTCCCCTTATTATTCTAAAAGCTGACATCATCGGGGTATTAGATGAATAGCCAAGAAAGAAGTACATGATGTCACCATCAAGATACAGCAAAACAGTGCTTCCAAGATGCCAGGATTTCCAAAGAGAAAGAAATTACCTAAGAAGCAAAGCTGAAAGGCAGTGCCTGTAGTCCCAATGAGGGGCTCAGGAAGCTAAGGCCAGAGAAGTACTTGCCGGTCTGGGCAAGACGGGGAGCTGTTTCTCACAAAAGAAATTCATTCACATCCTAAGGCTAGGAATGTGTAGCTTACCCCGTAGAGTACATGTACAAAATTAGATAAGGTTCCCTAGAACTCTGTATCCAAGACCTGATGGAAAAGTGTGCATTTACCACCTGTGAACACCAGCACACAGCAAACGTGCCAAGAACGGAGGGAGGAAATTCCACTCAAACACCAAGACTATCTATGAATAAAAACCATGAGGCACAGTTAACAGAGAAGATATGCACTTTGTTATAATTTACAAGCCTTAAATCTAAGTTTTGCTGCCAGTTTTATTCACAGGGGTCTGAGAAGCTTATCTTCAGAAATCGCTGGAGGTTGAGGAAAAGCCACCAGGTGGCTGCATCTCTGGAGCCTCAATGAACTGCAGAGCAGATGGTTATGTTATCTGATGGCCGCTAGGGGGCAACCGATCCCCACTTTCTCGGTATCTCCAGATCAGCTTGGCCTTTAAGGTTTTTCTAATACACCAAATGCGTGATCAATACACCTTCCAAACGTGGGGGGCGGGGGGGGGGGGGTTGTTTTTTAATATATACTATAAAGATTTCATTTCCTTACATTCTGAATGTTGATCTGTAATTCCATTTTGTAGTGATTGAAGTCTTTGGAAAGTTCATGTCCCTGATGATAGAAAGTAAACATTCCCTGGAAAAAGGACAGCATCTGTGACAAAGGACAAAGAGGACAGACATGAGCACATTCCACCTCACCTCCAGGAGGACAAAGAACCTGAGCAGCAGCAGAGTACTCCCCACCCCCCCTCCTCCCCTTTACCTAAGCAAGCCAAAGGAAGTCACCAGAATTCAGGTAAGTCTAAGTACGGATTAGTTATTATTGATCTTTGAAATATCACTTCTCAGGGGAAAATGGTATTTTTCTTAAATACCAGCACCATTAAGCAATTTTTACACATGCTCTGATAACTGGAGGTCATATCCATTTGTCCTCATTTGTCAAAAGGATCCCAGCTTCCATCAGTAATTAAAACCTTAATTCTGTGGGTCAATTCAGTCTACAAGAAAGGACCATGGATCAAAACGCTGGACTGTAATAGCACCCAGGACAGTACAACTTCTGTTTTGTTGACAAGATGGTTCAGTGACCTGCCCAGGGTGAAGTCAGGCTACTAATTAAACCCTGAAGTTTTCTACCAACTCCCAACCTGGCCTCTCTTAATTAGAGGGCAGCTGCTTCTGCCCTCATTGAGTGTATCTCAAATGAGCAGAACGGATTCGGGGAGAGAGCAAAGAAAATCCCAATAATCTTTTTCTGTAGAACACTGCCTGGGATAACAGGCAGGAATGGGCGGTTCTGACATCCAACAGCCAGTCATGGTCCACTCCCAACCGCAGCAACACAACCCTGTGACACAATGCTGGGTAAAATCACAGAAACTGTCTCCATTATACTTCCTTATGTGCTAAGTGGGATAACTAAAGTATCTTACTAAGTTCTCGCACGGAATCAAAGAGGGTGTGACCAAGACAGCATTCAGAACAAAGACTTAAACCATGACTGAGCACACTCAATGCCCAGGTCACCTGTGCCATAATTACTTAGTTTAAGTCACTGTGCTAGGGAGGGCTAATGTCTTCTAATTGTTTAAGTTAATTTTATTGCTCCAACTGGATTTCTAACTAATATTTAGTTATTCCTTTGTTTCTCAAAATCATACTCATAATACAGTATATAGTACTACAATTACAGTTCAAAAAGCTGTTATCAGGAAAAAACACCAAAAATTCATATTAAGTCTTCATATTGACAATCATAAATTCCAATGTTTCTTAATTTTTGACTATAACTCATATGAAATGCCCTTTACAGTTTAAGATACATATATGCTTAAGTATGCATATTAGCATGTAATGAAGCTATTGGAAAACCTCCCCATAAACCACAAAAGTCTTGGTTTCTAACAGAAGTATAAGGAAACCTTAGCGGCTGGAGTCAAGCTCAGTTGGTAGAGTGCTAGCAATGAACAAAAGTCAGGTACGGAGTTCAAGTCCTGGTCTTGGACCAAAAGAAAAAAGAAAGAAAGATAAGAAATGCTAGTCACTCACAAAACTGCTTGAAATAGAAGTGGAGCACCAATGGCTCACACCTGTCATCCTAACTACTCAGGAGACTGAGATCTGAGGGTTGAGGTTCAGAGCCAGCCCAGGCAGAAAAGTGAGACTCTTATCTCCAATAAACCACTGAGAAAACCAGAAGTGGCACTGTGGCTCAAGTGGTAGAGCACTTGCCTTGAGCTGAAGAGCTGAAGGGCAGTGCCCAGGCCCAGAGTTCAAGCCCCACAACCAGCCAAAAAAAAAAAAAAAATTGCTTGAAATATTCCACAAACAGCTTACAGTTAACTTAGATCACCATAAGCAGTTAGAACTATGTTGAAATCAATAATAATACACTTGCAAGAATCACAGTTGAAGCACAAAAACTTCAGAAAAAACCTTGCATAAAGATTATCCTGTAAGACAACAGCATCGTTTCTCACCCTCCAATACAAATTCTTTCAGAGGATTTGTAAGGGAAGCGGCAGGGAAGTAGGTAGAAACTGCACACCCAAGTGCAGACCTGGACCGCGTGCACACGACGTATTACCTACTGTGCGCACTCTTGATGCTATGACTGTCGGTCGCCCCTGACAATGGCGAACATCTGCCTTCCTGTTTACGCACTATAGCCTCTAGCAACCGTCCATTAGATCTAGAGAGGAAGCTGCTCTATCACAAAACTCTGCAAGACAACCATCTGGTCTAATACTCACAGGTTCCACGAATTCAAACTTCTTTCTTTCTTGGATTTCCTGAAGCTTACAGACATATTCAAGAGACAGTTCATAGAAGTGCTGCCGGTTTTGCTCTACTTGGAGATCTGCCTGTATTAAAATAATTGCGGTTAGTTCATCTAATGACAGAGAAAAATAACACTCTCTATAACAGAGGTCAGTAAACTCCTGTCAACAGGCCAAATAGAACTTTTGATGTACTTGTACATCAAGTTGTATTGGAACACCATTAATTGCATATCATTTGTTATTATTCCTTTGATCTGATAGTCAATAAAAGTCTAAACTATGTACAGACTAGGTACTGACCATAAAGGACTGAAGACCCAGGTGTTAGGTTCCCTTCACGGAACACCTGCCTTCAACTCAAAAGTGACCTCAAGCCACATCTGTAGAGTCCAAACACCAGAACTTCACTGCCCTAAACAGCCTCTAAGAGACCAGCTTGAGCATGAGGGCAGCAGCAAGGCCAGGCATCCAGGCCACCATGTCGAGGGCAAAGGAGAGCCAGGCTGCCCATCCATCTGGGGATGGTCACGCCCCTGAGCCCTCCCCATGCCTGATCTTCTGGGAATGCAGGGGACGCCGCTGGTCAGGATGCTATTCCCAACTCCAGCTCTAACTCATCTTGCCTGCCTGGAACAGTCTGGGAAAGAGCACAGTGCCGCAGACAGCGACGGAGAACACTTCTCATCCAAAAAGCCTTCTGGTAAGGCTTGAGACGTTGTTTTTCTGAACGTGACTAACTCAACTCTTGAAAGTACTTAATCTGGGCATTTCTCCGGGAAAGATAAGACAACTGAGAAAAGGAGAAGCCAAGGCTTAAGTAATCATGGAGAGTGTGAGATCATACCACGTGACACTCGTGGGAGGGAGGGGTCCTATCTGCACACACGGGGTGGGGCACTGAGGTAGCAGGGAGGCACAGAACAGCCACTCTGTGCAGTACTGGTGGGAATTCAACCCCTCCCTGCAGAAGGGAGCCTGGCAGCCCTCAGAGAATTCACAATAGAACCACCAAGTGATGTGGCAATTCCACCCCTAGATGTGGTCCTAAAGAACTGAACACCGGGACTGCAGCAGGTGTTCCTGTGCACATCCTCACAGCAGCATTATTTACAGTAGAAATCGAAAAGGATCCAAGTATCATGCAGGCATGAGGAACACCTAGCCTATGGGCTGTAGATCGCTCGTGCTTTTCATTCACTTCTGAGAATGTCTGCCTGTGCCTGTACTGATGATTGCACATGGCCTTGTGAATGGTGTTAAAATAGCCTTTGGAGGAAAGAGGGGGGGATTTCTAACCTCCGTCATACATGAATAAATGGACAAGTGAAATATGGTCTGTATATACAAGGAAATAGACTACAGGAAGCCAAGACGTGTCCCCTACAATCCCAGCTACTCAGGAGAATTATGGTTTGAACCCAGTCCAGGCAGAAAAGTCCATGAGACTGTTATCTCCAATTAACCACAGAAAAGCTGGAAACAGAACTGCGGCTCAAGTAGATGACTGCCAGAATTGAACAGAAAAACCTAAGAGACAGCACCCAAGCCCTGAGTTCAAGTCCCAGTACTAGCAACAAAAACTTTTTTAAAAAATATTAAGGAAGAAAATTATTATCTCAATGTAGTGGTGGCTTCTGCAGGTAGCATGTGAAGGACCATGAGCAGTGATCACAGCCTCGAGTATACTCTGGAACTAGACATGACATTTGCTCTGGACAGAGGTGCATTATGAAAGGGCCAGGGAGAGGCACCTCATTAGAAAGCATGGTGGAAATGGAAATGTACTGGAAGCATAAACCTCCTCTTCCAGACACCTGACAGCAGAGACAATGGAGGAAAGGCATGAAAACTGCCAAGGGCAGGCCAATAAACGTGACAGCTGTCATTGCAAAACAGACGAAGGGCAGGAGGTGAGGGGACTGATGTAATCCTGGCATGCTTTTCTGTATACTGTGGGCCAGGGAGAGAAGAAAGCCCTACATGAGCATTACAGTGAGGATTAAGTGGTATAAAAGCACCTTTCTCTTTTAGAAACCGGCAGACGCCACCCATGTGTCAGTAGAGACAATTAGAGAGACAAAGTTATGTATAGATCATTTCAGACCAACCAATCAATATATCTGCCACTAAACAAATGACATTCAAGTATCATCTGGCTTATATTAGAGCCAGGCAGATGATATTGCAGAAAGTACATAAAGTAGAGATGTGTTCTACCAAAAATGGAGGATAATTCAAGATCTTGAACTGCAAACAGCATTATTTCTAGTGAAAGCAAATTGTGATTACATAAAGTTTCTATCCATACTTGGCTCGTCATGGGAGATTTATCAAGATACAGAGGAAATGAGAGATAAGATGCAAATTCCTTTTTCGTTACATACAACTCCCTCCAAAAAGAAAAAAGAAGAATTTATTACCATTAGTATAACAAACTCTCTTTCCTACGAAGGTAAATATTCCAAGTTCTCACATTAAGATTAATACTGCAATGTAAAATGGTACAAAAATTTACTAAACCCAAATTCATTTGTTCAAGAAATGTTAAAAGCCAATTATGAGATTCCTGCAAATAATTCTGGTTAAAGTCATTGCTCCTATGAAAAGAGACTAAAGCCAAAATACTTTCTGCTAAGAATCTATGTTTAACCAAACACTGTAAGATAGACATCATTTTGTAGCTCTTTTCACACAACTCTTCTTTCTTAATGCAAAATCAGTTGTTTTCCTCCATATCTATATAGTCCTGGATGAAAAGTTTTCAAAAGTAAAGTGAATTTTTTTTTTTTTTAAAGGAGGAGGAAGAGAAAGAAAGGCAACAGTAACAGGTGCTGGTGGTCATGCCTATAATCCTAGATACTCAGGAGCCACCCCAAAGCAGACAAATCCACAAAACTCTAACTCCAATAACCAGCAAAATAACAGACCGGAGGTGCAGTTCAAATGGTAGTGTGCCAGGCATGAGCCAATGAAGCTGAGCTTGAATGTGAGGCCCTGAGCTCAAGCCCTAAAACTCTCACAATGAAGGCAAAGGAGGTGGCAGGAAAGGAGAAGGAGGAAGACATAAAAACTTCTGTAATTCTGGAAACAAATTAAGAGACAAATAAAATGACTACCTCTTGCAAGTGAGAGTCTTTCTTTTTGGCTGATAGATTCAAATGCTTATCGATGAGACTGTAATTCTTTTCAGTCTCTTTGTCGAACTTCTTTTTTTCTTCCTACAAATAAAAAAAAAACAGTAATGATTAAACAGAAAAATACTCACACTCATAGTTAATCCACTGGAAAGCTCAAAATATGAAAACTATCTGACAATAAGTCAAGTCCCACTCGGTGTGCTAAAACAACGAGGTGGGGTCAGCTGTCAGACACAGGCACAGGTCACTATGAGCAACACCACTCCTGCCTTCCTTCCACGGGCTAGACTCCAACCCTTCCTACTTAGCCACATTAAAGACTAATGCTGTGCCAGGCACTAGCAGCTCACACTAGCTACTCAGGAGGAGCTGAGATCTGAGGACTGCAGTTCAAAGCCAGCCCAGGCATGAAAGGCCATGAGACTCTTATCTCCAATTAACTACCTAAAAACAGGAAGTGAACCAGGTACCAGTGGCTCATGTCTATAATCCTCTCTATTCAGGAGGCTGAGATCTAAGGATCTTGGTTCAAAGCCAGCCTGGGCAGGAAAGTCTGTGAGACTCTTTATCACCAAAAACTAGTCAGAAAATGCCAGAAGTGGCTCTGTGGATCAAGTGGTAGAGGGCTAGCCTTAAACACAGAGAGGCTCAGGGACAGAGTCCAGGCCCTTGAGTTCAAGCCCCAGGAACAGCAACACACACACACACACACACACACACACACACACACACACACACACACACACACACACACACACACACACACACACACACACACAGAGAGGCTCAGGGACAGAGTCCAGGCCCTTGAGTTCAAGCCCCAGGAACAGCAACACACACACACACACACACACACACACACACACACACACACACACACACACACACACACACACACACACACACACACACACACACACACACACACCCCAAACAGAAGTGGAGTTGTAGCTCAAAGTGTTAAAGCACTAGCCTTGAACAAATAAAGCTCAGGGACAGAGCCCAGGCCCTGAATTCAAGCCCCAGGACACTTCTCTCTCTCTCTCTCTCTCTCTCTCTCTCTCTCTCTCTCTCTCTCTCTCGCTCACACACACACACACACACACACACAAACCCCTCATGCTGTGACTTACTTCCCACAAAAAGAAGCAAGGCTGAGTAGTAAAACTCAGAACACTTAAGAAAAAAAAAAACTTGAAATTCATTTAATATTAAGTTTTGTACTAGATATTTTTAAAATCATAATAATCCTTATTAGGAAAAAAAAGGGTCTTAGGGAAAATTCTTCCCAAAATGATCCAATATGAACCTACCTATCAGACTACCTGACCAGAAATGACCCTGACCTCGGAGCCATCCCCTGCACTGCTGCCAACAGGAGTGGGAGCAGATACGGACAGGTCAACGGAAGCTGGCATCACGTTCCACACCAGCTCTGAGTGGGCTTGGTTAGCACGTGCCATCTTGATCTAGTATTTGCTTCACTTTCGCTAAAGAAGCCTTTTGTGAACACAAGAACTAAATCTTTTGAGCAGAGACTACAGACTATCCCACTAAAAGCCACTGGCCAACCTGGCAGGTTAATAAGAACTCTTTTAACGAAAGAAAACTATTTTTTATTGTTATTATGGTTAATAAACATTCTTGAGGTCGTTGAGAACTCTGTGTCCTCATGAGGTCAAACTACGCCATCAACCTCAAACTCACCCTGGCTCTACCACAGGCCCTTCCTATCTTCAAATTCTCTAGAGCAGAAATTAAAGAATGATTCCAGCCTTTTCTCGTGCACGTTTACCCTTTTTAGGCAGTGATTAAGCAAAGAATGTGAATTCTACTCTCCTTTTCTCCCCCTGCAAGAGACTGCAAAGTGCTGGCTGTTCTGGGAACACACACCAAACACCCTCACTGGTCATCAGTCATCTGAAGACCAAAAGCTGCCAATGCACAACTAAAATCAAAACAAAACAAAACACCTCACAGCCCACATCCTAAAATTTCTTATCAAAGATCAGAGTGTAAGCAAAATTACTATAAAAGCTAAAAATACTTCTCAAAAATATTAGTTGTGCAAAATTTCAAAAACATATTCTTTACAAATTTATAAACCAATTCTTAAATTTTATTAAAGGCTCAATGTTGGTAAAAGTATAAATAAAGCTGAGCAATATTCTCCTGGAAGCTTAATCCAAATTAGCTTTGCTCAGGGTGAGAGCTAGAGTTGACACACGATTATAGAAAGGATTATAATATTTATCTCACTCCTCAGTGGAAAAGGTTAGGTGCTAAGTCTATCTGTGCAACCAAATTCATTTCCTAAAACCACACAGACCTATACTATGCCGAGATCAGAGATCAGATAATAGGAGGGAACAACGTTCTATATTTTTCTGTCAAAATAGCGTAATAAAAATTATTCATGGATCTAAGCTGTTTCTAGTCACTGGCAGTTACAAGTATATAAACCACAAATGAGATAAGAATATCTGCATAGTGTACAATTCTTGCAAGTAATGGTATCCTGTGAAGAGATTATGTTGGAGATACAGCACTGTCTTCTAGGGTTACATAAACAAGCCATAGCCATGTGCAAGAATGCTTTACTGTTCATCTCTCTACCAAAAGACAAAAAAAGATCAGAGATCGTTTTAACGCTGACTCATTCTTAGAACCCCAGACTCTATACATACCTACATGAGGGAAAAGCACTAAGAAAGAGGTAGTTTTATTTTAATCTTGTTTACTTGACTGCCCTTCTTTTGTGTACACAGAACACTTTATTTTTCCTCATGCCCTCAGTGTATTTTCTAACTTGCAATCATTCTTTTCATTGCCAGCTTAAACTCAAGGCCCTGAACTTTAGCTCAGCTTTCTTGCCCTACCATGTAAGCCACAGTTACACTTCCATTTTTGTAGTTAACTGGAGATAAGAGTCTCACAGACCTTCCTGATCAGGCTGGCTTTGAACTTGGAACCTCAAAGCTCAGCCTATGAGGAGCTAGGGTTACAGGTGTGAGTACTATGATATGATAATATTTTTCTGCTTTTCATTATTATGATCTTCATCAATAAACTAAAACAAATAAATACTCATCACCTGAGCATCTCTACTAGTTTAAGACAGTGATAGTGTAAAGAGCCCATTAAGACTCAAGAGACTGTGGATCCCAGTGAGCATGCATTCCCTAAACATCAGTTGCTGGGGTCTAAGCAAAGAAATAGAACTTCCACATTCTTCTGCATTTACTGGAAGACTGATACAAAACCCTATCAGGAACATCAAAGTTCAGTGTCTTCCTGCCTAGTACCGAACCTAGAACCCAGAGAACGTATTTTTACTTGTTTATCTGACTCCATTTGAATCACAGAAAGGGACAAAGGAAAGAATGAAATGAACCTCAGTAGACAAAACCCCCAACATGCTTAGCAATAGCCCATATGTAAATTGGCATGTGGGTAAAATGAAAGAAAATGATGAAATCAAAGCTTTGTGAAGAAAAAAATTCAGTCAAAAAAATCCTACACTCACCAATTAGAATAGAAACACATTTGTGTGTACATGCTACAATGCTGTACAAATGTGACAGTGTTTTGCTCTGACATCTTAAGACATGGATAGTTATTCCTCAGGCATTTGGAATGTCATTACAGAATATTATTCTGCTTCTTGGTGCTCAGATGACTTCTTGGGCTGAAATTATAGAAATTTCAAGAGATTGTAGTCAAGCAGCAATCAAAAATTAAGCATTTTGGGGGCTGGGAATGTGCCTTAGTGGTAGAGTACTTGCCTAGCATGCATGAAGCCCTGGGTTCAATTCCTCAGTACCAAACAAACAGAAAAAGCCAGAAGTGGTGCTGTGGCTCAAGTGGTAGAGCGCTAGCCTTGAGCAAAAGAAGCTCAGGGACAGTGCCCTACCAAAAAAAAAAAAAAAAAAATCATTCCTTTTCTTTCCCACACTAAATCATAGAAAATATAGAATACAAATCATCCAGTATAATCCAGGAAGTTCTATCAAGGATCACATTTTTTCTACAATGTGAAAATGTTGATGGATCAAACACCAGTTACAATGCAGGCCAGGTCATAATGCAATAGGTAGGGTTGAGTAGAAAGGGGACGTATTTCAGACAGGTGGAGAGTGTGGCCAGTGCACGCTACGCAGCCCCTGCAGCCCTGAGAGGGGAAGGCAGCTCCAATGTCCCCACAGCCACGCGGAGATCTGACTGCACACCCACAGCCCTGCTGACTCCTGCAACAGCCGGGGGGAGTGGGAACCCAGGATGTTTTAAATGATGGTGATTGTAAATGTCTGTAAAACTTCAGCAAAATGAGTAAGCCAAACAAAATATGTGTTTACAGATTAAGCTCACAGGAAGATAGCTTATGGTGTTGTAAAACTTCATGTTAAAAAAAAAAATAGTAAAAATGAGGTAATACTTAAACCAGGCGCTGGTGGCTCACACCTATAATCCCAGCTACTCAGGAGGATGAGATCTAAGGATCTCGGTTTGAAGCCAGCCTACTCAAGAAAGTCTACGAGACTCTTACCTTAAATTAATCACAGAAAACGCTTGAGTGATTCAGAGCTAACCTTGAGCAAAAGGAGTTTAGGGACAGCACCCAGGCCCAGAGTTCAAGGCTAAGGATCGCACCCCCCCCTCCAGAGAGAGAGACAGAGAGACAGAGAATACTCAAAAAGCTGGATTATATATAGATATATACATATATACATATATACATAATGGTGTCATCAAAAATCACTGGGTTAAAAATAAAAATTCAATCAATGACACTGGTACATGAGAAAGAGAAAAGAAAGCCCTACTTCATTTCAAAATTAGTTCCAGATGGACTAGAAGAGTCACCAGTAAAAAATGAAACAATAATAAAGAGAATTATTCTCATCAGATCTCAGAATAAGACAAGGATCTTGGAATGCTAGAAGCCACGACCTTTTAGACACCAAAATGTACACACAAGACCCAGCCTAACAGGACAAACAAGGTAGGGGAAAAGGCAACCTGCGTGTCAGGAGAGAAGTGAACGTTCTTAATCCATAAAGCACAGAGTTTTACTAAGTAAT